CATCAAAGGCGAATTTCACAGATATAAGAAACAAAGACGAGGTTCAAAACACTGCCACTCCACCATAGCTTTAATGGAGGCTTCTTATTTCCTATTCACTCAAAGCTAAAAGGCGGCATCCACCACATTTCCACACCTCACATTCTTAATTCATTTCTAAAACAGCGCGTAACCTCCAGAAAAAAAAAATAGACCAAGCTTCTGACAATGACTTTGAGGGCAGTGAGTGAAAGAGCAATCCATCAGCGTGGCCATGGCGAATGTAGGGTAAAATGTAACTGCACTTGATACATCCATTTATTTATTGACTCCTCTCCTTGTCTTTTGTTCACCTTGGCCTGATTGCATCGGAGCAAATAATGACCTCTTCATGAAAATGACTGTAATTTTCCTGCAAAAGTCCCTTGTGCTGGCAGACTGCCGCTGCAATACACAGAGGAGATAACGGCAGACGTTTAACTGATGTTAATGATGCAGGCCACTAATGAGGACATGAAAATTATCAGAAAATCTTCAACATGCTGTAACACTCTTTTTAGCATAATTAGCACTTTCCTTTGTCGTTTAACAACTGTTGCTATTTTTTGTGTCCCTTGACTGTAACCTCACATTTTAAGACACAATCCAGACTAAAGACGACGCATATAACACCTGCAATATCGGCTATTTAACATTAATGGGATTTAAGATTAGCCTGGCAGTGGAAACTGTAAACAGGAGAAGGAAGGATTGCTTGGTCATTTGCAGATCATTCATAAAGATGGAGATCATTAGAGATTGTGGAGGAGTGGGCATTGTCCGACTTCAAAGTCCCGTTCAGGAACACCAAATGCCCGCGTGGCGCTCCCGCTCTTCCTGAAAACAGTCTCTTATCTCTAGGCTTGCATCAGTCCCACAGACTCTGATCCACAGCCAGGCTGACACTCTACTTTCCAACTTCGAGAACCTACAACCAGCATCCATTCAAACCAAGCCGTCCGTTTCTAAACTGCGTGCGACGGTGTGAACTGATCGAAATTCTGATAAGCAGAATATCATCAGGGAGGAAAAGGGAACGCACTCTGCTATGGCTTTCTCTGCGATCTCTCAATTTGTTTTGACTTCTTTTCATCTTACTGCTACAATAAATGAACTCCGGATCTGGATGAACAGCATATCTCTTCTTTTAGATCCGTTTTTTTTTTTTACATGATAGAGACAGGAGAGAAAGCAGAGATGAAAAAAACACACTGCTAAGGCTCTGGAAGGAGTGCATAAGAACAACAGCACCATTAGAAGTCCAAAGGACCATGAGAAAAGTTGGCATGTATCACCAGAGAACACAAAAGTCCACTAAGCACGCGGCTATAAAGGATCCCTGAGATGTATTCATCAGAGCCTTTGAGACAGAGACAGCCGGGTGACTTCAAAATCAGCGCTTGCATTATCTGGCACCTGTGAAACTATCCCAGAGATGCACATCTCTGATTAGATACTGGCTGCACTTTCAAAGCTGTTGTGAGTTTGTTTTTTTAGGTTTCTGGAGTAAATCTATATGACAAGGAGTATGTGGGCTTAAGACTGTATAAAGACATCTCTTTGTTTAAACGCAAGACAGCTCATTGATTATGCAAAAAGACTAGTTTTTTTCCTGTAACATGCCTCTAACTGCATTACGTACTGTCTGTACAAGAGCAATACAAAAATTTACATAAAATGGTACAGATAAACACTGCAACTCAATATGCACGCAAAGATGAAAATAAAATGAAGCAAAAATAAAATATTGATCAAATGTTGATCTGTACTATTATAAAACAACACAAATGTAATTCAGAAACCATGTAAAGGTAAAAATAAATAAATAAATAAGTTTATTTATTGTTTATTTATATTATTAATAAATAAATAAATAAGGTTTACACTTTATTTTAAGGTGTCCTTATTACAGTGTAATTATACATTTAAGAACTTGGTGATATTAATTGTGTACTTACTATATGGTTTTGGGAGGATTAGGATTAGGTTTGTTATATGGTTAGTTGCATGCAAAAATAAAGTGTTAACTAAAATAAAATCTGTCTATCTGTACTATTAGCAAAATAAAATAGTACGGATTGACATAATGCAACTCAGTGTCTATGCAAAGGTAAAAATACCTGAGATTTTTGAATTCCTTATATTATTTATAAAGTGAAAATCTGCCCTATTGAATTGACAGTGACCCTAAACTGTCATCCCATGTTAACCAAGTTAGCGCTCTCTCGCTGATGGGCCGGATAACCTGGATTACGGAGACAGCAGCTGCTGAGTCACGCAACACTAGAGCCAGTGTTCGCTGGAGATAATTGGCTGGTCCAGGGTAAATAATGAGCTAGAAATTAACAACTGTCTGCATAGCCACAAATCCTTTGCAATACATTTCCACGAAAGCAACTCAAGGCTCCAGGAAAAACAAAACAAAAAACAAATTGCACATTAGTAAAGCAAATTACTGGAACAATTTCAATCCGTTTCCTACAATATACGAGAGTGGTAGAGATGGCACGATTGTCTCAACTGAAAACATATGATTATGGGATGAAAGTTTAATCCTGACCTGAAGTGTGATAACGGCAATGTGTGTATTTTTTAATATGTCACTAATTAAGCCTGTTGTTGCCAAACATATTTAAACATTACACAGGGCATAAATTACCATATGGTTTAATTAGTTCCTGGCTTTCAATGTTTACAGGCCTCGAAAACAATACTCACTATTTGATGGCGTGATTCAGTAGCCATGACTATTTTAAACCAGATCACTCGACAAAACTAACAAACATCCGCCAACATTTATTCAGGTACAGTGTACCAAACACAGAAACAATTAAAAGACGGATAACAAACAGGAAGAACATTAATCATGAATGGAGCCAAATAATAAAGTAAACATTTTATGTGATAAGCTGCCTTTTATAGCCTCGGATGAAAAAACACCTGTTGATTTTTTTCCGTATTGATAGATATCATTAAACGTGAATGGGGGACAGCTTCTATGATCCAGGTTGAATTGAGTTTACTTGCAGTGAGGACACACATTCCTCACTATTAATAAAACGGTAAATCAGGAAGGGTTTCGGATGATGAATGGGATTGGCACGTGAAATGCATGGCATTCCTTTACTCTTAAGGTACTTCCTGTAAACATCCAAGTACTTCCTGTGAGGTCAGATATGCCAGGTGCATCAGTAATGAACATGTCTAACCACCATACGGAAAAATGTGCAGCTCTGAATTTAAAATGGAAGAAGCAGAAACTTAAATGCCCATATGCAAGGTACTTAAAACACCCAAAGAGGATTAAAGGTTATTTGGTGCAATTTTTGGGGAGACTTTTAAACCTTTCTAAGTCACAAATGCTCTTACGCATCTTTCTTGAGTGCATTACAACATGCCGTTCATACTCTACTGGAAATTACGGTTTAGTTGCGTTCTGTAAATGAATATAAATGTATGTTTACTGTTGCATTAATCCTCTCATGAAAACAACTAAATCGAGTCAGGCATGTTTTAGCAGATACCAGCTATGCAACAAAAGCTGGACAGTGTTCTTCAACAAATTATCTACAAGCTAAAATTAGGTCGGTGGAGGATAAGCACCTTCAGACTTTGCATTGGACAGTACCAGACAGAGGATTACTTCACAAAGAGTGAAGGCTTCAAGTGGACCATGCTAAAATGGAAGGGGCTCCTGTTGTAAGGTCTGAAGAGGGTGCTACGGACATGCTTGCCTGGGACGGATGACCACAGAAAACAATGGCACATGGAGCAACGTCCCAGAAATCTGAATATAAATGAGCAAAATTCAGGTTATGAATGCTCAGTGACTCAAGCAGCCACTTCATTTGTTTTAGTACTTACTGAATGGGTGTCAGTGGATTTTAGACTACTAGTTCTTTAGTCCCTTGGAAACTGCCATTTAACAGTGGCGATAACTGTTTTATGTTATAATAATTTTGAATCATTTAGTCTTGAAAGACAGAATGCCGCACTGAGCTAGAGAAGTAATGAGAAGATATTGCAACAAAACCATATGGAGGGCATCTTGATTAAAACAATACTGACAACATTACAGCACATAATACGCCCATCCGTCCTCAACTGCCACAGTCTCTTGGCCTCTAGCTACACTTGTATTTAATTCTCTTAGTGACTCGATTATGGGAACGTTCATTTAGGCATTGAAAACGAAGAGGGTGGGTCATAAACAGTTTAAATTGAGCTAGATTAATGTTACCAAAGTTTGTAAATACAAATACAAATGAAAACAAATATTTAAAGCAAAAAACTAAATAAATGGAATGAAATTACAATATACATCAAATTTACATCCATATAATTCATGGAAATATATACATATATTAAAACATTTTTTAAAGCCTTTAAAAAGGCTATTTCATATCACTCAGCATTCAGCATGAGAAATGAAACCCTTGCTGTTTATTGGACAGAAAATTCATGCAGTTCCAAATGTACCTCCGCTCAGATTTTCATCAAACCTTTTGTTCATGCAAAGAATGGAAATCTATACACGGAGCAAAACAAATGACTCACAATCAGCAAATCAACCAAAACAACAGAGGACCTGATAAGTCTTTCTCTGAGACACACAAAATGGACACACACTCACAAAAGTGCCACTAAGGATATGGAAGTGAACTGTATTGGTCTGTTCAACTCATCTACCTATATATGAGGAGATGTTTGAGAGAAGAAAACCATCTTTACTTCATGTGATGTTGTTTCCGGACACGCACAACTAAAACATTTCAAAGAAGGGTATCTATTTGACTAATATCATAGAGCTACCCTCTTCCTCTTCTCTCTCTCTCTCTCTCTCTCTCTCTCTCTCTCTCTCTTAGTGGGAGGGTTAATACCGAGGGGGAGGAAGCCCCCTTTTCCATGACCCCCAGAGTCAGGGGTACATAAGCAGCACGAGGGACTTGGGCTCCTAATTCAAGACAAACTGCCCTGATACAAACCAACTCTTTTTACACTCATTCTACTGGACTTCCAATTCACAAAAGGGAAATTTGCTCATTACGGCAGGATAACTCAGACAGAAACCTGCCCTCAATCTCAGCGGTGCTGTCACACACTTGCACACAGATATACAAACACATTCACAGCCACACACGCACGCAGCCGCGCACACACAGACACAGACACACGCGCGCACCGAAGAGCAAACAGTCTCTCTCCCTTTCTCTCTCACTCTCGCTCACCCACTCTCCTCTCCCTCCCATCCACACACACACACACCACTACAGTATATCAGCTAGCGACTGGCAGGGAAACGGAGGGGAGAGCAGAAATGAATGTGAAGATCTTGACGCTGGTGATTGTGCTGGTGGTTTCTCTGCTGTGTTCAGCCAGTGCTGGTAAGTACGGAGCGTGACGGCTGTTGCCTCCTCGTGTTTATCTTTTTCTCTCTGCTGTTAGCCTTGGGGACGGGAATGGGCAGCTGTAGTTGATCAGTTACCCAGCATGGTTAGCCTTCTGGGGCTGGGGAGAGGAGGAAAACGGCACCTGGCTGCGCGCTGTACTGCACTGCAGAGGTTTGGCTTGTTATTGTGCCCATTTAATGAAGTTAATTGTGCCATTGGTGGATTACTTGCTGACTTTACCATGACATATGTAGGAAAATAACAGCGATGATGATGGTGAGGATTCTTCCTGGTGTCATGTAACACTTGGCTTTCTAGGATTATGTACTCCTGGATGTCGTCTATGCAAGGTGCTTTTCTATACGGTATTGTGGTGCATGTAATGAGGTGTTAAAAACAGCAGATGGTTGTTTAATGTGGATTTCACAAGGAAAACGCTGATGGCACTTACGGTTCCTGTAGATGTTTAAAGGTGGATTTGATCCATGTCTTTTGGGCTGTGCCACATCGTAGATGGATTCTCAGTCTCTCTGGGCTGAAGCTACAGTACATAGATCAGAGTTATTGTGCTTAACCTCCATTTGATTTATTCCAAAAAAACAATCTGCTATTGTGCTCTTATGTAATTCTTGCTCAAACACCATGCTATTTTTCATCTACCTCCACAAAATCAAAGATGACATGCAAGTCTTAAAGCTGTGAGCTCGAGTCAGGTGACTGGTGGCCACCCTGCAGATGTGATGCAGGTAACAGGGTTGTGTTAAAAAACAACTGTGGCCCTTGTTTAAACGCTCACATCTCTCTAAAGTCCAACTGCTGGGAAGCATGTGTGTTTGAGATTGTGTGCGTGTTAAAGGGTGCTGGGTAGTATCGAACGGCCCTTAACGCCCTGCGTTTCCACGCACGTTTCTTACAGAGATGCTGCTATTTTGGTCTCTGCACGAGTAAATGGGAAGCAATTACCTTGCATTACGGTCAGTGTTGTTTTTCACTCTTCCTGTGTGTGTGTGTGTGTGTGTGTGGAGCCTGAGCCTGATCTTTAGAAGGACAGGCTACTAACGTGTGATCCAGGTCAGACTGCCTTGTTTGCGCTATTAGTATAGTTTTATCTCCATCATGAGATGGGGGTGAGGGAGCCGCGGGGAGCCGGAGCTGGGCGCTTTCGCGGGAAGGTGTTGGAAGCGACTCGGTGTGTAGGCAGCGGGTGTGAAGTCTTTCATCTTCAGACAAACGCTTTTCCAGTACACTGGGAGTTTGCTGGAAATCGCCATCCGTCTCAACTGTACAATCTGCGCACTGCTTTCCCTGGGGTTGAAAGAGGGTGGGGACGCAGAGAAGTCATGGTGCAACAGGCGACAGCGGCTTCGCCATCCGCAGGCATTGAACGTCACCCAGCAGAACGGCTGCGGCCCTGCTAATCTCGTTTGCGCATACCTCAATCTGCTCTTCTTGTAATGTGCTTCGCCTCAATAATGGCCAAATCTTGAGCGCATTGAGCCACTCATAATTCATCCTGAAAGCAATCTGTCTTCCACTCTCAAGTCTGGTATGTAAACACTTCATATTGTGGAAACAGTTCAGCCACTCTGGGTTGTCAGTCCGAGTCCGGTATCGACGCCTCATCTTTCAAAGTCACGGAAGCGCGGGATAAATCCTTTCAAAAATACAGTCTCAAGAGCAAACACGCACAGAAGTCCTGAGTTGGGGTAATTTTAGCTGCTTGGTTTGTCCTCTTGGTCCAGGTGATGGTGTGGAGATCAGATCTTGGCATTATCTGTTTGAAATCAGCTCTTTGGAAAAAGCGAGCTTTCAACAACGCTATTAAACTTTGAAGTAGCATTGAAGATCGTGCGCGGGCTTGTCCTGGGTCAGCGTAAGACCCCTGCAAAAAAACATAAAGCTCATTAGGAAGTCCTCAGCCACACCATGTTTCTTTTTAGAAGAAATGGGGAACAGATCCGGATATTTTGTGAAATAACACCAGTGGCCAATGCCATGTGTTAAAAGCATGCAGGAAGCATTAAATCATAATTCCGTGAGTTCACTTAATGTGAAGGAGGTGTTTGCGGTTACACACTTGATTATATTGGTCATGGAGAGAACACAAAAAGACTAACTTTTCCAGATGTCCAGCGATAACATGATAATAGTGTCAAAGCAGCAGGAAGGAGATGAGCACTACTGAAAGGTCATCACAGGATTATGAAGAATCACTCAGCGGTGCTTTGAGGCATGATGGATTTTTGTCCCTATCTCTTTCACAAGCATGCATATGCACACACATACGTGCACATGCTCAAACACATACAGAGACTCTATGAGTAACCTGGATATCCTCTATGGCAACCTGCAGTGTGATTTGTCAGATATATGCAAATAAACTATAAAGAAGAGTTCAATGTGATGTACCAGTTTGAAAATATAAATTAATAACATCATTTACTCACACCCCTGTCCTTCCTAACTCATTTGATTTTCTTCCGATTCTGACTTCAAATGAAAATGTTAGGTAGTGTTTTTCCCCATGCAAATGAAACGACAATGCTGTCAAACTACACAAAACTCCACAAAATGATCATAATAGTAATCCATATGACTTGCAAGCTGAATTTCAAGTGTTCTGAGACTTTTATACACTTCACTATGAAAAAAGACAAAATGTTCTGTCATTCACACAAATTCTTTTGTGCAATTGGAATATGTTCATATGTTCAATATGTGCAAATGCACCATGTCTACATGTGTACAAACATGAATCAGCTGTGGTGAAATTATCAGTGAATATCAAATTTACATGTAGGTTCATTTCATAAGGCATTAGTAGACAAGTCATATGCACCCTTTTTACAGTATATCTCTACAGTGCCTGTTGTTTTTGGAGATTAGAGCAAAGAAAAAGAGAAGTGTGAACACTTCATGTAGGAATGGCATGAAGTTGATCTATTCCCTGAACAATTACTACTTTATATTAATGTACATGCTGACATTTGTTTTTACATAAATAATGCCCATTCAAACAGATCAAGCAAAGGGTAATTTGCAGTCTCTGCTAACTTGTTGCACCATTTTTTAAATACTTCATAAATATCTGCTCGGAGCTGTGGAAGTGGTTATTTTTTCTGGCTGAGCAGAACCAATAAAACAGTGCCCTTTATAAAACAACAGTACATTTTCTGAGCTCTATTATAACTCATGCGGTAAAGACATAGGGTAACCTTTGAGAAAAGCTCCCCAGTTGCAATACTGTGGATGTCTTGACATGTATGATCGCTATATAGGCAAGCATAATGCAATTCAGAGCACTCTGAATATATCAGATCACCTCCACCATCAGACTTAAACACATGCAGAGGAGAAATCCTGAAGGGTGCTGATGGAAGAGAAAGAAAAGAAAAAAGCGATTATACAGGCTTCTGATGTGGTGAGGAACACAGCCGCTAAAATATTAAAAGGTCTTTAAAACTTCACAGCTGGTGGTCTTCCCGAATTTGCAGTTGGACAAATGCGGGGAATATAAAGGGCCCTGTGCTTCAAATGGATGCTTGCTCACTTCTCTCTCTCAGAATCACACTTCATGCCTCCTGTACCCACAAGCAAGCTGACAAACCATTAGCTAGGCCCCTTCTTCTAAACATCAGAAACCATATTCCCTCAACACCCCCAAAATCTCCCTCTTTCCCCAACTTTTTAATTAAAGCCAGATATATTGAACGCCTAGCTGCATCCACAGGGGCCCGATATTAACCTGATTTATAGCTCCCTTTTCAAATATTAAGCATTACGTTTATTGTGGTTGCTGATCAGATAAGATCAGAGTGGACATTTTTATGAACAGCAAGGCAAAACGCTGTATAAATATTTCAAGTAGAGGAATAAATGTGCTTTAATTATTTTCATGCTCAATTTGAAGACCAAAAAATGAAAAACACATTTGCAGCACACAGGCCCGGTTTTGTTCGCAGTTAACGGCAGAAAAATAGCACATTGCTGTTTGTACTTCTATTGTGAGCTTTCTCCGATTATTTCAGAAGTATATCACATCAAACCATTAGCCTGATTTAAGGCTTCTGCCGTGGGTACTCCACTAAATCTGTTCAGAAACACAGAGGCGAGGTTCTTATTGCTCTGAGCGGTATGGATGTGAGAAACTGACTGGATTGTTTATGAGAAGTGTTCAAGAGTTTTTGGAACACTTTACTGATTCCCCCACTGGGACTACCCATAATTCCAAGCCTGAAGGTACAAGATATGTGTTATGCCTTCAATTTTATTGCACTAAATTTTATACCGCCAATAAAACTCAAGTCTCAGAGTATTCTCTGATCTCTTTGATAGAGGGCAATGCACATTAAATGTCAATTAAGCATATTGCTTATGAAACTAAAACCAACTCCGATAAGCATATTGAATGTCATCCAATTTGTTGTAAAGACACGGCAGCTGATGGGAAATTGTTTTTAAAATTCAAAACTGAAATATAGTATCATGCTATATAAATTCCCATCTTTCAGCATAGAACAAATGAGGTATGCATGATAGTTAATATCAAGTTTTATATCCCAAAGGAAAAAAAGCATACTAGAGAAAAAACATTGTGTTGAATGAATAAGTCTTGTTTGTGAAACTAGCATACAATTGGAACCGGATTCTGTAAATACATATACAATTCAGACGGAGAGTTTACTCAAAGATTGTGAAGCTTTACATTTAATCTTATTCTGGTTAAACACTGTGGCTAATATACCAACATACATAAACAAAAAAAGGTAAATTAACTGTCAGTCATTAAATATGGCCTGTAACTTGACTCGCAATGTTACTGTGAGAACCAGGGCAAAATTTTCTTAAACAAAAACACTCCATCACACAACACAAGCAGCCATTCACATCTGAGCTGTTAATCATGCTTCATCAGTCCATTCTCATCCATATGACACATATGTGTCTTTTCATGACTGATTGTTTAGTGTGATCTCAGCTGGAAACATCCCAGC